TTACAGCTTTTTCAAGCTCCGATATAGTTATTTTTTTAAAGCAGGACAAGCTACAGCCGACCATGTCACACACAGAGTGCCATTGTTTCTTTTCTATACTATCTGCTATTTCATTTAGGCTATGGGCATAAAAGTTATTGATGTTTTCTTCTTCTTTGTCACTGTAATGTCCAAAATCAATATTGGTAAAATCTGCTTTTTTATTTTTATTTCCAACAAGTCCTTTTAATGTCTGCCGCATTTTCTTTCCATTTCCCTTGCAATCATCAATTTTTTGGTTTTCATTTCTGATAACTGAAATAACATTATTTCTTTTTCTTTTATATTCTTCCCAGTCTTCTTCACTTTTGGTGTATTTAAACTTTTTGTAAGCAATGTCCCTAACATGTTGCGCCTGTCCTATCGCATATGAAAACCACGGATATTTCCTTGGTTGGGTCTTGCGGAGCGGAGATATCCTATCAAACGCTCTCTGTACAATTCCTATAAAATCCACATATATTTTGTTAACATCCGTGTATGTGTAATTCCAATTTTGACCAATAAGTACTTCCCGTATTTGATTAATATTTTGAGAACTCAGATTTCTAATATAAACATCCTCACTTACTAGTGTCTTGCTTCGAATTTCCACTTGAACGCCAATAGTTACGTGGTCACAGATGACAGGAAAGTTTCTCGGGACCTCCTCTACGTTGAAGTCATTTGTTATTATCTGATCCATTAGTGTAGCTGAACTTACGGTAACTCGTGTTTCCTTTGTTACTATTTGCTTAAAACCAGTCGAATTAACAACGAACTGAAGTTTTTTGGAGTCATTACTATTTTTCAAATAATCGATATTTAAGTCTCCCAAAAAATATGTCCTTTGTTTCTACAAGATAATCTAAGAAATCTTTGACATATTCATTCGGTGATCTATATGGTGATCCTATTAACATCGTCTCCCTCTCAAAGAAGACTATTGCAGCAACTGCCCAATAGCTGTAGTGTACTGCGTCTTTAAAGCAAGGTTTGAAGTTGATACCATTCCTCTACCACCAGTATATCTGCTGTTGGAAAATGAAACAATGGCAGTATATCCATCAATATTAAACTCACGCTCCTCGATATCCTCCGTGATGTGCGTCTCACTTATACAGACAGCAAGAGGTTGATTGTCCTGCACTATCTCAGTTAACTCGTCTATGTGTGATGCTAGGCCCTGTATATTTATATGCAATATCAGACCAGATGATGTAGGCGGCCCGGCCCGAAACACGGAGTCGCCATTCTCGGCCGGCGGGGACAGCGACGGGGCGGACCTGCGGAGGCCGGTCGAACCGGACGGGAGAATGTGTCGGGTGGTCCGGCGCCTCCTTCTGCAATACATACAATAATACATGATTGTCTTAATTTTAATACTTTGTGTATGTTAGTAAGAACGAGACCGTGCTTTAAATTTCGATAGTGTATAACGTAATTAATTTTATTAAAAAGGGTTGTCATCAATTTCGGTAATTTTGAATTGGGAGGCACGCGATGCTCGGCACAAAATGGGAAATCTTTATGTAGATCGTGTAAACTCTGAGGATATTGCAAATCTACCTCCAAAATATAGCCTACCCCGCCCGTGTCTGGAACATTATTAATGCTAACGGAGGCAATCTCTTCCTGAGTCAACCATTGTAGGGAAGAGGCTCCGACATAGCCTTGCCGCAAAGATTGTTAACGTCAAAAAATGTGAGATAATTTGACTGTTTTGATGGATCGTAATTGGAGATGTACTTGTTGTACAGGCCAAACATTTTTTTATTTTGGTATAGATACGTCGATACGTCGTTATCGCTTCTTTTGTAGGAACAGAAAGGAAATTACGTAGTTTTCTGAATTATATAAATTCCATAAAAACCATGGAATTAGAAAATAATAATTCAATTAACTTCCTTGATTTAAAACTAACAAAAAGAAAGAAACATATAAATTTCTCCATTTATCATAAACCCTCACATACAGACACAGTAATTCACAATAGTTCTAACCATCCATGCCAATATAAAATTGCCGCTTTTAATATCTATTTACATAGATTACTTCAGGTTCCTCTCAATCAAGAAGATTACGACAAGGAATTAAATATAATTAAACAAAGTGCATTGAACAACGGTTACGAACCCAATTTAATTGACTCACTATTAAAAAAGAAACTATATAACAAGGCCATGAATCTAGTCTTTCCTAAACAATACTCTAATAAAACAAACAAAAATTTTAACACAATGACTTATTTTGGACAACCAAGTGAAATAATAGCTAAAAAACTTAGAAGGCTAAATCGGAATATTGCTTTTAAATGTAATAGGACATTAGGATCTGTAATTAAAAATAATAAAACGAAAATACACAAGTTATGTAAGTAAATGCCAGCACGAGAAACGATCAACGATCGATCGACTATTTTGATTATCCTACCGACTGCTCCAGTTAACTTATTCGATACGCCAACGATTAAAAAAAAAAAATTTATTAAATAATGAACATTGTTTATCTGGACTAAAAAAATCATTAAATTGTTTCACGGTCTATTAAAATTCGAAAAGTAACTCATTTTGTCATTAAACTAATCTGACTGATCCTGATTTATAGATCTAAAATCAATCAATTGTAGGACTCCACTGAAATTGAAAATATTATGTCAATTGCATAAAATAAAGACCCTTCCGATGCCAAATGAGCTTGCCAAATTTTGTCGAAATTAGAGAAGAGGTTTTTGTGCAAATAATTAGAACCCCACTCTTTTCTATTAACTTTGAAACACATAGGTGAAACTAACCAAAAAAAGCTCATCCAATATTACAGATTCAAATATTTTAAGAAAATAATTTAAAATTGATATTGGACGATAATTTGTTACTTCATTTTTTCAGGCCAGATTTCAAAATCGGTATAATTTTTGAAGTTGTTGAAGACAATTCGTAAAAATGATGAAAAACAGTTTTGTCAAACTTGGACAAGACTTTGTAAACAGAAAAGGGACTCTATTCGATCCTGGATCCTTTTTCGTATCAAGTGATTTAACTTTCTTTTCAATTACTTCCATGAATTTTCTCTATTTGAAACTATTGTTGCGGTTTTGAACTAATAACTCTGGTACTTGTGCTGGCTTTTTCAGAGACACTTTCAAGATAGCTAATAAACACGCCACAGATTTTTTTAAAATGACGCTGCGACCAAAATGAGAAAAGTTTTAGTACAAACATCTTTTCAACTCTTCTGTCACCATACTTTATTTTCTGTTATCATCGCGTGGAACATGTCGCATAAACTATTTGTAGTTTTTTGCAACTTGCAATTTAAGTTTTGGCTTTGGCTGTTCATCGCATCAAAAAAACTACAAATATGTGGGTTAAGGTCAGCGTCATTGTAAGTTAGGCCGCTATAAGAAGACAAAACATTATTAGAAGAAGTAATAAAAACTAATCAATTTTTTATCACGACTGAGGGAATACAGGAAGAGAACATAATAATAATGATAAAATAATAATCACGAAATGTGGGTTAAAATCAGCATCATTATGAGCTGACTGCTATAAGACAAAACATTATTAGAAAAACTAACCAAAACTAATCAACTTTTGTATCACGACTGAGGCAATACAGGGACAGAATAGAAAAATAATAAATGGAATTGGAAGTAGTAATCATGGGTCAACAACATGTTTGGCCACAAAGACCCAGAAAATCAAAAGTGAAGTCACCAGTTCCATCAAAATCACTATCCGCAAGCTTCGTCAATATAGACAAAGACGAACCCACTAGCAAGAGAATATGTGCCAGAAATGCCTGTATTGGCATGTGCCTAGATTGTCGGGCGTATACAAAGCTTGTTTGAACTGCAATCATCAGTTCCGTTTGAGAAAGTTAAATTAAAAAACTCAAAAATATTGGTTTAAGTACTTTGTCACCAATTAATGGTGATAGTAAGACCATTTATTCTAATGATTAAGCATACGACTTAAGCTTTACTCTAATCTATTGTATTCCAAATAACTAAAAAAATAATTTTTAGACTACTTGAACGTTGAACTGATTCAAGAATTAATTTAAGAAGTGGGTCTATAAACAAATTTGATAAGTATAATGCACAATTACGATACGAAATATTAGTAAACAAATTCATCAAGTGCTTCACAAATTTATTGCCGAAATTGAACTAGAAATAAAAAATATTCATTAACGCATTTCGAAACTTTGTTTTCTCCATCTGGGCCTTCATACGACTCAGCATATTAACAAAAGTGTGATTAGACATTCTCAAAAACTGTTTAAACTTTCCAGAGTCCTTTTTAAACTCTTTCTTGACAAATTTTAACACCGCTTTTGTAATCCTTTTATAGTTATTATTTTTCTGTAGAACATACTGGGGCATAAATATTTCAACTAAATATGAAATATTTTAAATCAACAAAATATAGTTAAGAAACAAGATCCAATATAACAGCTAAAATGTATGAGTTGGTTGAACTATTAAATAACACTTTGAAGCGTCAAATCAAGCGATTATGTTTTGTCGACCAACGGAGCTTACCGAGTTAAGCCAAAAAGAATAATTCAGAATGCTCTCTGACGAGAAAAAACCATTTTAGTTTTCGTTTGTTTTAAAGCTGGACAGGAACTCGTGACAATTCTTGCATTTTAAACCTTTATATTTATAATTTTCTGACCAGACACCACGTGTATAATAGTCCATAGCGGGGACGTTGATTATAAAATGTACCTTTCAATGTCGTTAATAGGTGTTCTGCTTGTATCGAATCCAAAGTCATGAGTATATTAAATTTCACAGTATCTTGGGAACTCTACCCGAACATTTTCTTCTACTCGTGGCCTATTGACGATTAAAATCAAAAAAATTTATATATATTTATATATAAATTTATATTGATTCTACGGTGACACAAATATGTTTAACCGAATATTATTATTATATATAAAATAATAATGTTGCACACTTCTGTAAAGGCGTCCCTAGCGGGTACAAAAATTTACACCTGAAAAAGAAAGAAGACGCAGTATAACAATAAAATAACTATGAAAATAAATAAAACTTCTTAATGGCAGTTGATTTGCATTGAAAATACTATTCCTTTGGATTTTCAGCTAGTGGCGCTAAAAGCAACACGTTATTTTTCTAGTTAAATGGGTGTGAATGTCAGGGAAAAAGTTCCATTTCATAACAACGAATTTGATGTGATGGAAGACTACATGTCATTATCTCGGGACGTCTTTGTTACCTCTTTAATATATTGCGTTGCTGTAGAAATATGACGATTTTATGAAAATCGGTATTTAAATGTATCAAAAAAATTGCAAAGATCTCTTGAGACGTGAACCTAGTGATTTTCCCAACATCAATCACTTTACAGGTCTTCCCATCTTGTCTAATTTTTTTTCCAAAAAATATAAACATTTCGCAGTGCTACATTCACAAATGAAATTACTGCAAAGGAATGTCGAAGTTATTGTCAGTTGCCACTGAATTTATTTAAATTATTAAAACTCTTTTCATGTTTGGTGCATCAATGTAAAGAAAACCAATTCGAAAACTTTTTTAAGTAAAAAGGTGTAATTTGTTCAAGTTCTTCGAGAAAAGCTGCATCGTGAAATATAAAGAAAATATTTACTTGTAGATGCACATCTACTGTCTTGTATCGTGTTGACTCTGCCTTGGAAAAAGTCTTAGCTTTGTACCTCATTTTTATCATTCTATTCAACAACTAAAAAGTATTAAGTTAAATGCAGACGACATTATAGTTAGTTTCCAAGTTAAATCTCTCCCGAAAACCTCCCTGCAGAATTTCTCATATTAATAAAAAAAATAGATTTGGGATGTAACAAACAAATTTACGAACAAATATTAGGAACGGATCCGCGATTTCCCATGCATCACAAATATTTTGTGTTACATTTTGAAAAACTAGGCACTGATAAGTTACACATAAAAATAAAATGTGGACGAACTATCTAACCTCCATACATACAAACATCAATTTCAAAATCGAATTCGAAAATAACAACACCCTTCACTTTATAGACGTTTTTATTAATCGAAAACCAGCTTTAACCTTGGGCCATTTCGTCTATAGAAAACCGACTCATACGGATCGATACGTAAAAAACGTAAAAATCATCCATGTTCAATTCAGTTCTTCTCACCAACAATTTCCATTATCAAGATATCAGACGGCCTATTAAAAAATACACTTCAACAAAACCACTACAAAATGCATGCGTTTGCCATTGAAATATTTTAAAAATGTCAGCGATTTCTTGTCCTATAATCTCCCGATCTCTGCGATCGGTTAAAGGTAAAATTTTGCATGAGACAGCATACCGTGAAACTGCGGCAAAGACTTAATCGAAGAAACAGATCTAAAAATATCAAGCAGACTAAAAAATACCAGAGATCACTCAGAATTCGAGAAATAATTACATCAGCGGTTTCTGAACATCGTCACGAAACAGGAAGCCTCGTTTTATGCGACAATACCAAATACTTGCCTCTAACCCTCTCTTTTATTCAAGAAAAAATTGTGAATTTATCGCAATAATCAAACAGCCCAATAATATAAACCGCGGTACAGGTGTCATCCGCGAAGCAATTAAAACTCTCCCTACCATTCGACCAGGCCGGTATTTAAGGTGCGTGCAGAACAATCATCAAATCAGTTTCAGACAATGCTCTAAAGAAGCCACGAGCATCCTGCGGAAGTTTCTTTGAAAAATAATTATTAGCACGAATAAACATCACAAACAAAACAAAATTTTCAAAATAAAGTTTAAAAGTAACTTGCAAATGTACATAAAAATTATAAATTGGCTTGTCCTAGAAATTTTTACAATTTATTCAGGTGCATTGGACAATGAAGGTTTTCTTAATATTCAGACACAAATATATTAATTACATTAATTAATTAACACTTCTCGCAGCTTAAGGTTTTATTATAAATTTATAAGAAACCTTAACTTTTATAATATTTTTTTTTTACTTTTGTAAGAGGTCTAATAACTAACCAAAATGGTTTTATAATATTATAAAGGTTCCCATTTTAATAATAAAGTCAGACTTTAGCTAAGCCTCAATTTTACGAATGAATTAAGTAAGGTTTCCGTATCATACACATCAGCAATTTACATACCAGTTCTGGCAACGATCCAATCCAAATACGAAGTAACCCTGGTGTTAATTGAGGGACTGTCGATATTGCAGTCGAGCCCGTGGGATATGATCCCGATAAGATGCAACCTTTGAGTGCTCGGATCCATCCACAGCAACGGGCCTCCAGAATCACCAGCGCACTCGCGATGTCTCAGAGTAAATGTACATATATGATTGTTGTTGATATTCTCAGTCTGGTCCCGGGCGCACTGCTGGTTTGAAATTACACTGAGTCTTGTCTTCCTTAGCACGTCCGATTGGCTATCGGAAACGTTCAGGCTACCCCATCCTAATACAGTAACAAACGTAAAACGAGATACAAAGTTACTTATTCATAGAGGTACTACAAAATATCCGTATATAACGTGAGCAAAGAAAAACTGAAAATAGAAAACAAAGAAAATAAAACTAAATTCTATGGGATTATTAACCTCAACCGCCTCTTAATATCCCCAAAAACGTTGGTCGAACATGTCAAGTTCTACGTGAAAAGTGACCATACCAATATTAGATTTTTCACGTATTCTGGTTATCAATCCATTTATAAAATATTTTAAATTGATCATGTTCATCTAGGCATTGTTTACTATGCAAGTTATAGTCCATATCTTCTATTTGGCAATTCAAAAATATGTATTTTAAGAAGAAATGATACTAAAATATTTTTCGGAAAATGACTTGGAGAGAAACAACATTTTTAATAATTCCAAAAACAATACTTTTAAAGTCACTTCCAAATTTTTTAGATCTAAACTACAGCGTTTTTGATTGTAGAAACTTACCCAATGCCGTAACAAGTTGACCAACGAAATCGGAGGTTTTGTACCGAAATGGTAAGCATATGGGACCGATATATAAACTAAACACTATTTGGTTTTGAGTTTTAATGATCGCGATGTCATCTATCACCGTATTAATTAGACTGCAGTTGGGGAAGATTTCGTAGGTGTTAACATTATAAATCTTCGAATAAGGGGTGGTTCCTAAAAGGCAAATTATTCTTATAAATATAGGTCGGTCGTTCAATATCCTAATTTTATCTCGCACTTTTTAATATTTGTTTCGCATAATAATAAAAATAAAGGCAACAACAAAAACAATAAGATAATTCAAGATTTAAATATACAGATTAAACATAAATACGGTCGCAAGATATTTGAGAAGGAAAGAAAAGGTTTAATAACAACTTAATGCTGCCATTTAAGCCGCTCCTAACTACGTTGTCATTCAATTTAAAATCATAAAATCAGTACAGATTCGGATTCTGTGCCATAAAAATATCAGGTTTTGCCCGAAATTTGATTCTGAATTCTCGGTAGCTCGTGCTGTAACCTCCAGGCCATTTATCTATCATGTTTGTCAAGAAATTCTCTAAAATCCCAATTATGCAATCATCATTCGTTACCAAAGTGTCACTTTAAAATGTTAGCTTCATTAAACACTGTCGCGGGTCAATTCGAGCGTTTGCATTTCTCTAGATCGCGAACGATCAAATTGTTTTCGGTAGATTTAAAAACTGTTTAAATTTACAATGGTTATAATTGCCGGTGTTCGTAACAATAAGACAAAAAGTAGGTTACTAAATTATTACAATAGGCACATATTTCTTTTCTCAAGACATGCAGAACGACAGGTACTACAATTCTTACACAAAATGTTAATATATCAAAAATGGTATATACCCCCTTTGACATTTCATTTAATTTATAAATGAATAAGTGCATAATTAGACATTTTGGATTAGGGAGTGGAAAAACATGTTTTTTTGACAAATACGATAAATCGCCTTTTTTGCTAATACAGTGCCATTAACCGAGAAACAAAAGAAAAATGAGATGTCAAAGTTGCTCTCCCTCTATCACCGTGTTTATGGAATGAGGGTCTTGTTAGGTGTTTTTTTCATACTTTTTGGGCACTTGGTATAGCTTTAAATAAACGAGGCAATTAATAGTTCTTAAGAAATTGAGCTTTTCATATTTTAAATACAACGTTAAATATTGCAATGGTAATTGTAAACTTGAATTTAGTTTTATTCAAAAAATTTTAACATTTTATTGATTTAAAATTCTGGATATGGATAATAAAATTGACCACATAAAACAGATTTGACTAGTTACTATCCCGAAGCAGATGAAATCCACTTTAGTGTAAGTATCTACGATCCTCGTTATTAACATTAAATTTAATGCAGTTAGCTAGACTTATGATACAGGGTAAATCAAAAATGCATAAGGCCATCCTTATAAAAAAATAAATATGGCGGGAAGAACTATAAACCACGAGGAAAACACAATTTGGAAAAATTGAATTTGTGGTTTTATTTTTTTTAATAAAAAAATTCGGTGGTGTCCATTTGAGAGTCATAGCTCCGTAGGTTGCGCCTATAGAAAAAAAATTTTTTTCGTGCCTTATCTAAATCTCAGAGACTTTCCCGCACACCCGGTATAATTTGGATTCGGGAGTAGAAAGAGTTGAAAGAGAAAAGTAGAATTCGGGAGTAGAGGAGAGGGAGTAGCAACGACGTTTACTTAATGTTTGTCGAATGAAACCCACTAAGCGGATATCGAAGTATCGATCCCTATAGACAAATCGATACTTTGTATTTTGATCGCAATACGCGCGAGATTTTACGTGAAACTGACGATATTGCATTACCTGAAGTGATGTTGTGCTAGCCCCGCAAATTATGATGAAAGGGTTCAGATTTACCAGCCCCGTCATCGAAGGGAACTCGTTGACGCCCGTTTCTTGTCCTCCAAGGATTGTAGCCTAAAAAACGTACGTTTTGCCATGTGAAATATTCGAAATTTCATCGGCATGGCCTACAATAAATTCAATGAAATATAAAACGTTTCTAGAACGGCGGGAAGAAGTGCAATTTAATTTTGCTGCTGGAAAAGCTATTCGGAAGAATGTGAACCAATCAGTAATGGCATTTAAATTTAAACAGCTATATTTCAATCCAAAGAAGATTTTTGCGTAAAAATTGAACAGGTGTTTGGCAGGGTAATTCATTTTATTATTGAAAATAAAACAATCAACCTTAATTACTTTTTCAAAAATAGAAGTGTTTTCTAAAGTTGCAGCTATATATACGTTCTTTTCCTACTTTAGTTTGCAAAATAGAAAGTGCGTTAAATAAGTCTTTAATTTTATTTATAATAGGGTCAATAATTTTTAATTTTGAGAAACTCGAATTTTCGAAATACATCAATACATCTTTATTAAACATTGAAATCTCTCTATAAGCTGATTTTTAAACATTTAGACCTATTTGATTAATTTCCTATTCTAGTTATTTGTCATTTTGACACACTTGTTGGAAGGTTTGGTTAAATTTCTCAAGAAAGATAAGAGCTAAAGAATTAAGGAAGCGGCGTAAACATCTAATCGTTTTGCTGTCAGCTAGAAACAAATAATAGACCGGTATATGCGGGTTACAAATAAAATTTATTGATTTATTGATTATATATTTACGTCTCAGTATAAATTCATGGAGTCAAAAAGACGATGCCTGATTGACATAATTTTTTCAATACCTTCTCTTTTGTTCAGGAAATTTAGAAAATCCGAAAATTCTTCTACTTGAAAATCCATGTATTTGTCCCTGCCGGTGAAACGAGCACCAGTGTTGGAAATTTCAAACAGCATGTTTTCCTTGATCCTAATAACGCCAGTAGACATTTCCTTTTTTTTGCTGAGTTGAGTACACTTTTTGAGTCACGGTTGATTTAGGAGTTTTGGACTATACGCCAAAAATTTATACAGATCGATCCCTTCTTGCGAAGGTGTACCCGTCACTAGACACAGTAGAATTAATACTTTTTGGAATTATCGCTGCGGTAGCTGCTACTATTGAAAGCAATCTTTGCCATTCGCCGAGATAATGGGATACAGCCAACTCCATTCTTCCGACCAAACGTCATTTTTAAAACAAACGTACGCTGTTAATAAAACATTTTGAGCACTTAACTGAGACGATTTAATTTAATGTTCTTATTTTTATAACACTAAATCAAAGCGGACATTTATTTTGTTGAGGCAGGTTTAAATTGTTTTCCTGCTTATTAAATAACCTATGCCACATAACCAGCGAGTCGTATGATATCACGCCCGAAGTTCATCAACGTTGCTTATTTGCTCGCTTTGCGTTAGTCTGTTTTACATATGCCGGTCGACATAAAATTGCAAATTTTGAAAGCATACCTTTTTATTGTTTTTTCATATAGGAATTTGAGCACATAATCAATGAAATAATAATACAGATTTTCGTAAGGCACACAGGTGTAATCTACCGTTCATATGGAAGGTGCACACATATTAACAATCAAAGGTCGGGATACCTGTAGTTGTTCGATCTTCGAAGTAAAAAATCTGTTTTTGCTTGCCCTTTTAGGTGCGCAGTGTGAACCAACCGCGTAATCAATTCGTCGATAAGGTATATCTATATCTAAAAGGTATTTATAAGGTATTTTAATCCGTGGTGAAAACGCTTGAGCCAAGGTACGCAATATACGCTTCGCTCTCTGCGGCTTGTAAATAAGTAAGTAGATTTCCGTCATAAATTGCAATCTCTTTAGCGACGAAACCTACAGCGTCCTTTAGATTAAAACCTTGAATATCTAACGCCACTATCCGCGTGATGACAACCGCCAAAAATGTACTGTTTCGCCGAATATTTTGTGGCAAATTTTTTGAACATATAATTTGCGAATCTTTTTAAAAACCGTTGAATTTGTTTTACTATTTCAGTTAGCGGATTCTAACTAAATACTTCGTCATGTAAAATGAGACAGTAAACCGATGTATCCTTTTGGATATTAGCGCTAGTTTCAAATTCAATTCGCATTACTACAAAACCATTTTGATGAGAACCATCGATGTGTGTAATGGGACATTTTTCTTTGCTACGTGTGAAAATTGCCTCGTTCGATGTTCCGTAATAAGAGTGCCAAAAATTAGCAACCATATCAACTAGAGTCGAATACTTGTTTTTTCTTTTAAAATGGTTCCGAATTTAAAAATACTTTTATATTAGTTAAATTGACGTCATCAAATTTTTTTCTACTTTTCTACTTGACCTTTCCTATTATCGTGGATAATGATTTGCGTCTTTAGTTTATTTTTTGTTTCTACGGACCACGTACGAGTTGTGGTTTCAATAATTTCCCAAGATCCATTATTATCTCTTTATTAGACTCCATGATTTTCGTTAGAGCAAGTTCTTCGGCATTATTTGTCATAAATTTTGGAATTTTCCACCGCGTCTAAATCGTTGCTGGTTCGTATTAAAGCCGGGTAGTGGATATTATGAATCTATCACTGATAAATGCCCGCATTTGTAAGAACTGGACTTTTTTTTGGTTGAATAAATGTAATATATGAAGAAAGCCTTAGTTTTGTATTTTATATAGCTCACCCAGTCAATTCCCCGTTCAGTTAAAAAAAATTCCGCATTCTTTAATTTGATTTTTTTGCTGCAGATTATCACGCATAAAAACGCCTCTGAAATGCTGAATTTTCTCCAAACGAAGAGTGCTTTTGCTTTATTCCTTTGCCAAGTCTTATCCTTTAAGATCTTGTGTGGTTCGTGTCTCCTCGTTAAATCGTTAGACTGAGAATATGCTATATCGTGCTCTTTACAAGCAGCTTCTATGGTATTTATACCAGAATCACCTTTATTTATTCTTTTTTGTAAATGGGTACCCAATTCGCTGAATAGGCGACCACTATTACTATGCAGTTCGATAGTAAGTTTGTTTATAAGTTTATTTACCAATCCTGAACCTTTCGACCCGTTTCGATGTACAATAATCAGAGCGTTAGGAAATAGTGTTTCTAAATATTTAGGTATTATGCTATAAATACTTTTGCAGGTTCCTGTTAATGTCTCAGTCGAAATGTGAGTAAAAAAGCAAGCCTTTTCTTTGCCCGTAAAAAACGACGATGCAAAGAGTTCGAGCTGCGAATTTCAAAAGCACCCCCATCACTTTAGAGGTAATTGCAACAGGGCACTTAAATTCGGGTAAAACCAACGTCATATTTGGTCGACCATCCTGGAATGCAAATAGATTTGAAAACATTGACTTATATTCCAAATCCCCGTAACAGCCAAAATACGAGTATTTGAGAGAACTGCTAAAGCCTTTACAAGAGATAGCATCATCATATAGCATCGACTAAAGTCATGGCTAACCGATGCGAAAAATCGAGAAGTTCTTTTAGAGATTTTTTCAAATTGAAAATGACTACAGATTCGTATTCAGGACTACCTAGAAGTAACTAGACCAATGACCAAAGGTTTTAATGTTTTAAAAAAATAGGTAAACCTTGTAAATAACAAATAGAAATTTTAATTACACAAAGTCCAAAAATATTGTTAAAAAAGACTTTTCTAGAGACATTCATTTTAAAGTATCATCTGAAAACAACAAAGTTAATAAATCTTAGTATTCGAAAGGTATAATGTAATCAAAATTAAAATATAAATTAGCGAATGAACTTAACAGTCGAATGTTCGCTTCTCCATGGCAAACTTTTACAAAGGAAACAGTATGCCGACGTCAATAAATTTTGATATTTCAATATTTCAAACACCGTGCAATGAAACATTGTTAAAATTGGTATAGTTGGAGTATTACTGAATAAGAATTCCTTGCCATAGAGAGTACTTCCTCAGATATTCGAGAGAGATGGAGAAAAGGAGAGAAATCACGGAACTTCGTGCATAAAGTCATACGCCCAATGATATTAGCGGTATGAATTTGTTTTGCGAACGAATTATTCATTTAAAGAAAATATGCAAATATTTATGCTGCTATCGGATTAAATTAATTCTTTATTGATAAAAGGAATATTTTTAAGGAGACTATTTATTACGAAGTGAGTATTTACAAGATTAGTAATAACAACTAAATAATGCGACTTAAATTACGACTTTTCTTAACCTGGCAGCACTGCCGTAGACGCCAGAGCAAATCAGGTGTTTGTCGATGAGGCAAGAAAAAAAAATTGCTTAGAATTTGAAACGTAAGCACGGAAGTACTGGACCGTATTTCACTATAAAACTCTGGTCAAGTGAACATAAATGATTGAAATATAAACACTAATCTACCAGGATAATTGTCCCAAGGAAAAATATGAATTAGCCCTAGAAATTAGTCTGTTGATCAACCGAAATGTAAGCAATATTTAAGGAATTATTTCCCTATATTTTCGTCACCTATTCCTCACGAACAATTAATGGATGGTAACAAATACAACTGGATAGCATTTTTATGTGCTAAATCGTTTCTTCGAAATTTATCAAGATTTTAAAATTATGCTCGGAAGAAATTGTGGAGTTCATTTAAAATAGTCATATTTAAAGATACATGCGTGGGAATTAAGTTTTCTGGTTTATTTGTGGGACCTCGGTAAGATTTAGGCTTTCATTTAACTTCAGGTTGAAAGTTATCAGCGGACGGACGAGTCGGCGGTTCCAGCGGTACAACGTATTCTGTGTTATCTTGCTGATAATAGTTGCTACAATGTGATTTACAGTCTCGGTAATATGATATTGATTTAATTGATTGTATCGATTGATTTCAGAGTTGCACAACTCATCGGCTTCCATATTTTGCAGCTTTTGAGATGTACTTGGCACATGATTGTTTTAAAGATTATTTTGTTTATTAAATTATGGTATGCCACTGTTTTGTGTAGAAACCGACATGGGTGGAGGAAGACTTTTATGTGGCTGGGCCTGAAAACGATTTGCGGTTTACCAAAAGCATAAGAATTTGTCTATAACGTGGCTTACTATTGATTGGACCGGTGGCAAACGGCTGTTGCTGTTGCCTAAAATTATTTCGGTTATGCCTATTTTTGACAGGGTACCAAGTTACTTACGTCTAATTGTTGTTTCCAAAGGTTCTTTTAAACCTGATAAAAATGTTTTCAGAGCAAATGGGTTATGGAGTTAACGTTTTATTTGTTTTGCTTCACTCCTCGTTTCATGTGTATCAATAATATAATATATAATATACCCAGATTTAAAATTTGTCATGCTTATAGGAATTGCTACCAGGTTGAATAGTTTCTAAATTTAAAGGAAAACAATTTTTCTGACATGAGCTTACATTAACCGATAGCAAATGTTTCAAGATTATCAATTAATTTTTGGAAATGCTGCCTGGAGGGCGCCAATTGGTTAGGGAGGGTTAGAGACCGTTGCCTTTTTAAAAAATATATTTAAATTTACAAGATGTTCGTTACAATAATATATCTTAACTCATTCTTCGAATAATGAAAAATAGAGTTTTTATATTATAATTAAAAAATAGATAGAAAAAATAAGTTGTGTTGCTAACGTAATATTAATTCTAGAAATAACTCGAATCTTAGTTTTCACTCATCCCAATGAAGGTATGAATTCATTCTATTGGCCAATTCATGTAATACAATCTTGATGAATCCTGGCGAAATTTTCTGGTATTTTTTTGAAATTATCCTCTCTAAATATTGAACATCTTGACACGGCCCTCGCTGACAAATGGTTCATTAAAGTAGGGTGGTAAGTTCATCTGAACTATCAGGCCAAAAAAGATAAATCGCAAGCCGCTAAGTTTTGTATGGTCGGTACCCACAGTTCCTTTGAACTGTCCTTGATAGCGGTCATGGTACAGTGGAACTGTCCACCGGGA